AGGCCCCAGGAGCAGCTCTGAGGCTCCAGGAGCAGTTCTGAGGTTCCAGGAACAGCTCTGAGGCCCCAGGAGAAGCTCTGAGGCTCCAGGAACAGCTCTGAGGCTCCAGGAGCAGCTCTGAGGCCCCAGGAGCAGCAGCCCTGTCTCCAGCCCTGAGCTGCAGCGGGCACGGCTGGGAGCAGCCAGTGGAGTGTGCACATGGCACAGTCTCAAACAGCTTTCTGACTAGATGAGCTGACAGCATTTCCACATTAGCTCATGTCAGCTGTGTAGCATCCAGTTACACTTTCTGCGGGTCTGCTGGACCTATTTCCCAGAGCAGGCTCATCCCTGCCTGGCAGCTACAAGGCTGCAATCCATAACGCCACATTTTGAGGACAAAGAGCAGAGCACATTGGAGTTGTACCTAACTGGCTGCAGGATGCGCATTGCAAAGTGTCGCTTGGCAACAGGCACAGCCAGGACCAAATGGGACACTCTCAGGCTACCAGTTACATCCCCTTCCAGATAACACTCTCCAAGCCCGGGGAAGAAGAGTTTAGATTGCAACCAGCAAAGGTCTTGGCAAGCTGAGCAAGTTGCCTGCCTGATGTGCCAGACCAGGATCCCTGTAATATGTAGCATGAGGGTCTGTCCAGTATCCACAATGCTCTTCTATGTCCTTAGGAAATTGCAGATTTAGGTGCAATCTTTTCTCTGTCTAAGAGAAATCAAACTCATACCTCACTAAAGGGTTACCCAATCTATTTATAATTTCATGTGCTCAGAAGGAAAGCTGGGAACAAGGCTGATTTTAGCTCTCAGATCTTTCTTTGACACACAAGAAAATCCCAAGTATCTGCACTCAGTCCTTAGGCTACAGGGTCATGTTCCTTCTCTTTGGCATGGCACTGAAAGCAAATGACTGGATGTTCTGTGGCAATGCTCCAGCAAGCAAGCTCCTAGCCAGGCAGCAAGCACACTCTGGGAACAGGGGAAAACATCTTTCCACAAAGGGGTGGGACCAGAGCCTCAAACCTCAGGAAAACTCACTGGACAGTAGGCATCTGTAAAGGATTTTATAAAGCACTGGCCATGTCCTACATTTAAAATTCTGTGTGTTTATTTTTGTTAGAATTGTTTTAGGCTTGGAGGTGAGCAAAGGATAGTGCACAGGCAGGCAGGGCTGACTCCAGGGTAGCCAGGGGAAGCTGCCTTGAGGAGCAGCACTTCACTCTGACCCTCCCTCTCACCTTGCTGCTCATGACATGTGGCGTGGGCTGGTCAGGGGTCTGTGGGGATGGAGGGGCAAGGCATAAGGCTCAGGACCCCACTGTGAGGAGGAGGAGTGTCAGATGGAAAGCAGTTTCTTCCCTTAAAGACTTCCTGTAAGTGCTTTCCTGTAATTTGTTCCTTGCCTCACCCAAACAGAAGGAGTAAGAACAGCATTAAACTTACAGAGAGGTGTTGTCATAAATCATGATTTCATGAAATATAGTGTATTTCTTCTTAAAGTCTGGGCTTTTGTATTCTCTCCACATTAAGGAAACAAAAAAAAAATATATAGCCTTAGGGTCTGGAGAATAGCTTGAAAACAGCCACATTTCTAGTATTACCACCAAATAGCAAACAATAAGTCAACTTTGAAACATACTTCCAAGTGCTGTTGTTTAAAAAGCATTATAAAAAATTAGTTCTGGTTTTGTTAATTTTGAGATTTTAGACACCATTTCAGGTTTTGTGGCTCTTGACTACTGTCTGTTGAATAATGGAGCTTGAACATCCTTTTACTTCGCCATAGCCAGGAATATTTCATAAGTATCCCCCTTTGGAGCAGGGGGAGATCCCCTTCAGGGCTGGGGAAGCCTGGAGCAAGAGAGGAACTCTTCAGCCAGGAGCTATGAAGGGCAATTAAGAAGGAAATCAGCTCAAAGGGCAATCAGAAGGAAATGGAGGCATCAAACACCAGCATATTTTCCCTGAACAGTTGTCCCCTGTACCATCTGATCCCATATGCAGCCCAAGAGTTCTGTTCATTCCTCCACAACCCAAACCCAAGACCCAAGCAGTCCTGGGAACAACTTGATTCTCCTTGGTGGCTCATTAGCAGCTGAAAAGGAAGCCCAGTGGGAAGCAATCCAATCCCAGGCAGTAATCTCCAACTCCATTTCTATGTGAATTTCCTGGAGGGCTGCAGCTCCCTGTTCCACAAGGGTGCATTGGTTGGGGCTAGCACAGACATTTGGTTCCTTGTTGTGGCTCCTTGTGCAGCCTGGAATCCACAGTGGGGATCCCTGCCTGTGCCAAAGCAGCTTCCTGCATCCCTGCTCTTCTCTCACTGGAGACCCTGTCTGTGCACACCAAAGACACTGCCTTGCTTCTTTGCTTGGGCCTGGGCAGCTCATGAACTTTGGGGACACAGCCTTTGGCTGAGCACTGCCTGGAAATAAGAACACATTATGTCTCTGGTGCCATTTTCTCTGCTCCTGGAGGTGCAGCCCAGCAGCAGCTGCTGCTCTGAGCTCCCTGCAGGGTTATTCCTGCCGCCTGCCCTCTCCTGCCAGCGTGAGGGATGCTGTGCTGCCCACTGAAGGCCATCAGCAGGGCCGGTGCTCCCCGTGCTCCCTGCAGGCTGTCACCACCCCTGCTGCACAAGGAGGTGCTCACACGTGTCCTATGTGTGCCAGCAGAGCCTGGGACATTGCCACTCTCTCTCTGTGCACAGTGGGTCAGGACAGCTGGACATTATTTATTCCTTCCCCTACACACTGCCATGGGAGGGAGAGAGGTGTTATCTGTGCTGGACATGGGGCTAACATGGGCTATGGAAATCTCCATTTTTGCTATTTCTTATTCCCTGGAAAAGAGGGAAAGTGAAGCCAATCCCAGCCATTGTGGGGTGCATCTTGCCTTCTAGTAAAGCCATGGTTTAATAGCAGGTTTTTATTGATTCACTCAGGTATTTATTTCTGGAGGAAGGATGGGATTAAAAGAAGATTAAAATGATCAACCATCTCCAGCATTTCACTATCAATCCAGTTCTTGATCTTCATGAAGAATGTAGCCTTGAAAAAAATATTTGCCAAAAATATAGAAAGCCAAAATTTTAATTATTATGTCTCTGCCTGTTTCTAATACTGTTCACTTAGAAAACAACATAATGAAACGTTTCATTACCCCTTACTAGCTGCTGAGAAAATTCTGGAGTTACATTGAAACATCAAGCTTTCAAATGACTGCAACTTCTATCAAATACTTCTAAAGACAACAAAAAATGTCTCCATTAGAAATACAAAAACATTTTGTGACCAATACTCTCCCAGGAAGGTTTATTATAGTTCTAAAGTCAATTCCAGCTAGTTGGGGGTTTTTTTCAGATATCAACTAAACCGTATTGTGAGAAAAGTATAAAGAATTTTTTTTTTCCTTAGATTTTTATTTTAATCACCTAAAAATCATTCTTATGGAAATGAGAAAGACAAAAAGATTCCCCAGGGACTGAGAAACTTCACTGATTTGCATCATTAACACTGAAAAGAACTTGCCTGGAAATGGCCCCTTCACGTTTTCTTTTATTTACATTTCCAGACAAATACAAAATTAATTTCAACAAGAAGGTTTCTTGTAGATTCCTATCCCATTTTGATTAGTCTAGCCATTAAAACATGAATATAGCTTGCTGTGCTTTGATTTAGTCTTTGTTACACCGCAATTCTTAAATTTTTAAAAATTTTTTATTTTTTTAGTTTTTACTTCATTTATAAAGGGTTTGCAACATGGGGGCTCTGAGTGATCATTGACTGTATTAACATTCATAATTAACACCAGTAATTATTAAGACGCTTTTGGAACAATTACCATTTGTGGCATGGAATGAGAGAAAAGTGACATTCATTTAACAAAACTCTAGTTTCCATTTAACAAGTCTGTCCAAGCATAAGCAAAAATGAAAAAAAAACCCAAATCTGAGCACACTAAATATATATTTAAATGCAGATAAATTTCTATGATAAAGTAGTTCTTTCAAGGCTCAGATCAAAATTTTAAACAGTTTACCTTCTTTGTGTCTTCTGAAGAGTTTTACGTAACAAACTTTCAGTGTCATCACTAATAGCAGTTCATGCCAAGGATTACTTTCTTAAAACTGCTACTCAAGCCCGGTGATTTGCAGTACACTTCTTATTACAGGATACATTATGCAGAAACCCTCTGCTATGTGATGGGACATGGCAACCCTGCTGTGAGAATGCCTATCAGCGCTTCTTTTAAGGCCCTTTCTCAATTGTCAGCAAAGTATTTTTTAAGGTTAAAAGGTGTAAAATTATTCTGAAACGCTTTTCTGACCTGTCGCCTATCACTGCAAAAAGCTATAGTTCATTTTTTTTCTAAAATTGTATTTTTAAAATGTGATATTATAAGAATAAAGCTAGTAAGAAAAATATCATTTTCTATGCTTTTCATTATATTTTTTGTAATTTTTTCAGTACTGATACACATTAAGATCATGAGTCCCTTTTTATTTCTGATTTTCTTCATTATGATTCTCACTTTCCTGTGAGTCAGTTATGATGTGCAATTAATGAGAAATGAGCAATTACAATAAAAATATTTTAATTTATATTTTTGTGGATTTTCAAATGAATTCCTGAATCATATTCTCTAATGTAAAAGTCAAATGCAGCAGGGTCATGAAATAATCTCATTTTACTGGTATATAAAGATCACAAGATCTGTCATTCTTCAAGTACTACCTGTACTTTGATTGAAACAACACTGAATATCAGCAGGAAAACTAGAAGAAGGCTTCTATTCTTCAGACTGGTGGCTGGCTTTTATGGCTTTGCAAGCTGCTTAACTCTAGATTTCCCAGGCTACATGCACAATTCAAGGTCAATGATCCTATAGTTTTAAATCCTGTGCACAAGAGGTTACCATCTCCCATTGTCTGTAGCTTAAGATTTCCAATGGCAGCTAACTATTTATGTGCTGGCAAAATGCTGGAAGGTATCTGAAATCACTTTATACTGCGTTTCATGGGCTGTTCTATAGCACAATCTTATCAGAGGGTACTGGAGAGCTCAGCCCTGCTGCAAAGAAGTGTCAGACATGGAGGGCCTGATTTTCCCTCTGATATCTGATACATGCACACAACAACGTGAGTTGCAGCCAGAGCCAAGAAGAGAGGTACAAGTAGTGGTGCAGCTGAAAACAGATGCTGTGCTGGGTTTGTGCACTGAGTTTTGTGGCCCACAGCAGAACACCAAGGTGATTACTCCCAAGAATTCTTATAGCATAGCTACAAGAAGTGATAAAAGCAATAAGAAGGCATTGTCATGTTGCACACATGAGGAGGTTTGTATCAGTCCTTTCCCAACACGGACTCATGTACTTTTCCTGACACCCACCTAAGCAGCCTAAGTCTCCAGAAGGGTTTTCTTCCTGTATCCTTCAATGCTGTCAGTGGTGAGGTGTGCAAATTGAGCAACTATTGTGTACTGTGCTGGCATTACTGAAAGGCAGACTGCACATTCTGCCTCACATTGATTTTATCATACCCTCTTTATTAATTGACTATACCTCATCAGCAGGAAGTCTCATCTTAGCCTGCTTGCTAGTACCTTGATAACCAAACAGGAGAAGGTTGCCATTCATACACACATAGATGACTGCACCTCATGTTTTTTGGATCACACAAGTATAAACTGCATGTTCCCCAGCAAGAAACACTCCAGAGGTCTGCTCTATGAGAGGCATGGCCTGGCCCAGCGTCCCTGGGGGCTCTTCATCCCTGTGTCTGTGCAGGGTAAGAGCAGGGCTTATCTTCAGCCAGGCCTTGGGCTCAGGAGCAAGTGTTTAGGTCTCAGACATGAGAACAGAAAGTGAGATCTCACATCACAGCACAAAGCACAAGGCAGAGGAGCACGCATGCTGTGCTCCAAGGATGATGACTACCCAGCCAGCAGTGCCTAGAGAAGCTTGCAACATCCAGCACATACAGCCCTAAAACTCCTATGGATGACTGCCTAATGCAAGATGGAGTGGTTCTTTCAGACAACAAACCAGCAAATTTCTAAAACTATACCCAAGGATTCAAAATTCTATATTTAGAAGTTGCTAACAAATACAAAGTGCAAATGAGATCATTGTAATATGTAGTATTTAGAACTAAACATATAAATCTTGATACTGGACAATTCCAGATGAGATTGTTACAGGCACCACAGGATTATCTTTTAAGTTAGACCCTGAAACATGTGGTCATGGTATTTCTATATATATATATATATATATATATATATGTACACACAAAGTAAAGTCTCTCAAACTGAACAGTTACTCTTCCTTCCTTGTCAGTCTCCCTGCAACCATTCTGAATGCACAACAGCCTTCTCTTACTCAGCTCCTTTAAACTCCACTTCTTTCACAGGGAGAAATTCAAGGAAGTTGTGAAGTGAAATCCACCTTTGACACTCTCTAGACACTTCGTTCTTGAAGAAGGTTATTTCATGTTCATCCTGTGCATTTTTAGAAATGGCCAGAATCCCAGGCATGAAGGTATGGAGTGCTCAATGTCACACTAGCCAGCTCTTTGGGACCAGACTAAGACATTTTTTAAACTTGAAACTTCCCAGACTCTCCTTACAAAGGTCTTGGTGCTGTAGAATTCTTCTGTTTTAACATCAAAATTTAATCTGTCTAGAATTAGAGTTCATCTTATCATATTGAAAGGAAATGTGCAAATCCAGAGGCATCTCACCCTAAAGTAGATATCTATGACTGGGATCTTATATCTGGTTGAGGATAAACAATTCATAGACCTACAAAACTAAGATTTGGGAAATACTTACAAGAAGTTGCTATTGTTCTTCTGAAGCTCCACATTCAATTTCTTCTGCATCCAAATTCCAGCTGTGATCTCTGGATAAGTGAGGAATAATAGGCAAGGTTATTGTCTTAATGTCATTTTAACTCTATGTTTACACCTCTTTCAATGTAATAATTTCCATGACATTACCACCATGCAGATGATAGGGCAGAAGAAACCTAGAAAGTGCAATCCTCAGATTTTTGCATTTTTGTTTGAGAATGAGAATTTTGTTTTTACGATATTTCAGAGACACTAGCCAAATATCTGCCAAAGGAGATCCCTATGCAAAATAGGAACCATCCTGAAAATTCTTCTTTTCTAAGTACCCATTGAAGCCAATGGTTGGGTTTTGCAGGAAGTCTGGATTGCAGGAATCTGTGGGAAGTGATGCTCCACGCTGTAGAATGATTAGGAGGACCTATGCTCACCCATTAAACACAGAACATTACTATGGCCACAATCCCAAATAAACAGAAATCCTGCTGCTAATACAGAAATCCTGCTGCTAATTGCAGAGTCACAGGTTGTGCCATGTAATTATTATCAGTTAATGTTAAGTATTTTGGGCTCCAAGTCAGGGTGATGACCTGGTCAGGTAAGAGTTCAAAGCTCTGCAAACCAGCAGCTTGAGGGCACAGCTGCTCTCCAAAGGTGCAGCTGGACACCAAAACCCAGCTGTGGCTGTGCCAGCTTCCCTCATGGATGGTCAGGAACAGCAGGGAGCATGCCAGCAGTGCTGGGGACAGCTTGCAGATTCAGCAGGATCCTTTGCTTGTGCATCTTTCCCTGCTTACTGGGCCCAGTCTAACTGAGATATTGAGCACCTGAGCTCTCTCTTGCCCAAAGAGAGAGGCTACATACCCAGATAGTATTTTCCAAAGCAAGGCCGTGGTAGGGAAGAAGTGTGATGTGCCTCTAAGAGTTAGTAGGGGCAGGCAGACATGAAGAGAAGAAAGTCAGTCACATTAATCAGCAGTGTGTCCAAGACAGATGTATGCAACTATTATTTTTTAATTTAGAGGCGCAAATTAAATAAATAAATGTCCATACAAGATAAGAAATTAACAAGATTATTTAATGCCCAAGCTATGAATGTCAAGAGATAAAAATTAGTGGAAATACTGCAACAATATCCAGACTTTAAAAATTATCTGATTTCATCATCTAAACCATCATATTTTGGCAGAGCAAAATACACTGATTTCAACTCTCTGTGTTTTTCATACATACTTAATATGAAAATGTTCTTCTCGCTTTTTGCACAAGACAGTAAATTTTTCTGTGCGCTGTGCAATATAAAAGAAAGGCACTACTTTTTTTCTGCCATTTCTTCCTTTTGTTCCACTTGCTTTCCATTTTCAAGGTTTCCCATACTTTTCAAAAGAACCCCATATTGCTGAAACTTTTTTTGCCTACTGCACTAGTGAGTAATTAAAACAAAAAAGCAGCAACTTTATGATCATTTTTCATAAAAACCATTCACTAAAGCAGTGGGCAAAGTGAAATATGGGTTTTAGCCTGCTTTTAAAACTACAGTGGTGTTACATATACATACATATATATGCATGCAAACCATATAGATATACTTACAAAATACAAAGAAATCAGATGAGGTAATAGCACCCCCTTCTGAGAGTTAGGACCAGAGCTAATGCCCTCACTTTTAAGCAAATCTGGAGACTTTTTGTCATGGTGCTACAGCTTTTTTTAATGCAGCTCCTACTTCTTGTTTTGTCCTACTGTGCTAAACTAGAGACATGTATACACCATTTACTTGGCATTTATCTGCTCCTCACTCTGCCATTGTAAGAATCCCTTGGTTAAGAGGTAGCACTTTAAATTTGGAACTAGGAAGTCCACAAAAAATTATTTTCCTCAGCTCACCTGTTCAATTATTCCATGTATAAAATCGTCCTTTGAAGTGGCTATTTTGCAGTCAGGGGACAGGTGGAGAGAGGTGTGAAGGGCTGGTGTACCTCAGCAGGAATGTCATTTCTCTCTTCAGCAACTCAGCTGTCCTGGGGGTGGAGCTTCATCTCTTTTGAGATGGACACAGCCTCCTCTTCCCCAAGCCCTCTGCTTCCCCTAGTCTGAAGTTAGGGCAGGAAAGGACCAGGAGCTGCAAGGGTTTAAGAAGTGCTATCTACAACAGCTTCTGGGATCATACCCAGAGCCACTCTGGCACCACAGGGGCCACAGCAAAGCTCCCTGTGAGCCTCCCTTGCCAGGTACCTGTACCTGCAAACGTGGGCTTGGCTCCTCCCTTGGCTGCCAAAAGGTCCACCCACCTGCCAAGGAAGGGCATTTTCCACACTCTAATGGGAAAACCAGGGCAAGATGATTTCCTGCCTCATCCATTCTTCTCCAACAGCAAATTTCCCTTCAAGCAATTTCATCTCAATGGGAATGAGATCCTTTCTCCATTTGCCCAACACAACGAGGGCTCCTTTACACAGTACAGGCAGAGCTCTTGTAGGGCAGCAGAGAGCAGCCCTGTGAGCAGCTCTGTCCCACCACACCAGCTTTTAGTGGCATCAGGCCACCCCAGCAGCCCACAGCTCACCAGCCAGAGGC